ATGTGTCACTAAATCAAATGCAGGAGTTATACTAAACAGGCAAACCACAGAAAGCTAGACATTGCTTAGCAATCTGAAGTGTGAAGCCATTGGTTCAAGAGAACAAGACTTCTTATTTCGTTAATGTCCATAGAAAAACGTCCATCAGCCCCTTTCTTCTGTGGCCTCACAAAACACTTTCCTGATTACTTCATGGGATTATTCTCTTTTTTCAAAGTCACATTGAACTGAATACAAGATAAAGTTCATTTGTTAAATTATGGTCAGAAAGGAGCATAATCTGAGGTGTGGTCAATAGTTAAAAATCCCTGGGTCTTAACAGCACAATCCACCCTTCACTTGTTACGTTCATTTTCAATGCACCAAACTGGCAAAAGTTATAAACAGATTCATAAATGAACTTGTTTTGTGTTTATATATATTTATATACACACATGGGAATTCATGCTGATGGCTTAATTATCGCCACCAAGGAGGCCGTGTTTTTGGTGGCGTTTGCATGCGTGCGTGTCCTTCTGTCTGTAAACACGATAGCTGAAAACGTTTTGAATGAAGCAACAGAACACTGAACTTTACTCGCTGTTGTCAGGCTTGAATGTCCTTAATTACAACATGAAATTTAACCTAGTTGTGTGATGCCACTGTGTTTGTGTTGGCAGTACATCTTACTCGCCCATTTCCAGGAGACCATCCCACCAACACAGAGAAAAGAAACAGCATAGTAATAGGCATAATAATCTGAATGAACGGGGCCTTTTTACAGGACTCAAATCTGTTCCATTAACACATGAACAACACTCATGGACATACTCTGCTTGGCCTTTACTGCAGTGGGGTTCAGTTGCTGTTTTGTGGCCCGTTATGTCTGAAGTTTATTCTTCAACAACTGAAACGCATGCTCACTTGGGTTAAGATCAGGCGACTGACTTACCCATTCTTTGCTTTAATAAACTCCTGGGTTGCTTTTGCTGTATGTTGTGGGTCACTTTTCTATCTGTATTATGAAACTCTGCCGAATCACTTTGATTGTATTTAGCTCGATTTGTGCAGACAGTTTGTCTCTGAACACCTCAGAATTCATTCGGCTGCTTCTGTCCTGAGTCACATCATCAATAAACAATAGTGTCCCAGTGCCACTGGCTGCCATGCATGCTCAAACCATCACACAGTCTCATGTTTTACAGCCGATGTGGTACTATGCTTTGATAATGAGCTGTATCACAGCATCTCCATACTTTTTCCTTGCCATCATTCTGGTAGAGGTTGAACTTGGTTTCTTCTGTCCAAAGAATGTTTTTCCAGAACTGTGCTGAATATTTTGGGGTTTTTTTGTTTAGTTTTTTTTTTTTTTAGCAAAGTCCAATCTATCCTTACTATTTTTTAGGCTTATGAGTGGACCTTGCAGTGAACCCTCTGTAATTGGTTTTGTGCATTCACATTTACGGTAGACTTGGATATGTCTACCTCCTGGAGACTGTTGTTCACTTGGTTGGCTGCTGTGAACAGGTTTGTCTTTACCATGGAAATAAATCTGTGATCATCCACCACTGTTGTCTTGCAAGGTGGTCCAGGTCTCTTTGAGTTGCTGAGTTTACCGGTGCTGTCTTACTTTCTTATGATTTACCAAACTGGAGAGTTTGGT